CACTTTCTGAGTAAATAAATAAAGCCCCACCACTCCCATTTAAAGATTGATTGTCAGTAATTTAGCAATTAGACAAAGTTAAAGTAAAAACCTATTAATTGTATGATTAAAAATTTTAAATTATTTATAAAAAAAGAAGTATTACATCATCTTTTTAGGCTTTTAAAAACATAGCTCCTCCATCTGATATGGCAGTATTTCCAATCATTTGAGTATTTTGTATATAATTAAGATTAGAAACCAAACCATTAATTGATATAGCACCACCGATATTGGCCTATTTTTAAATAAATATTTAAATTACATAAAAGCTTGTATGATATTAAATTATTTTAATCACTTTTGATTCTAAAAACATAGAGTCAGATATGAAAAATTGTGTTTAGTTCAACTAAAGTATAGAGCCAAAGCATAGCATGCAAATTATTTTCTAAAATATTGTTTATTATTATATTTATAATTTAGATTAATATAGTGATATAAGTGCTCCTGAATTTATCAGAGAAATCTAGGATTGTAATACTCGTTTTGAGGATATCTAATTTATGTTTATAAATTAAGAATCTTCAATAGTTAGAGATCCTTAATTGACACTAATTAAGTATGTGGAAAACGTAGAGTCTTTAATTATTAATCTTTAAATTATAATACTCGTATTAATACCATTAATTAGAAGAGGGGAAGTATTTTGTAAATTTTTTATTATTAAATTTTAAAATCCACAATCAACAATTGAGAGGATAGATTTTTAAAGTTAGAAAAATGACACTGATTAGATGTCAGATAGCTTTGTTATTTGATTCAAATAATCAGGATAGGTTTAGTTAAAATTATTATTATGAATATTAAAAAGAGTAACATTAGAATTTTAGATATTCAAAAAATTTGAGTTGGTCTAGCCTAAAATATTGGTTAACTCTCCTTCATAGAATAGAATCTAGCTTAATAAATTCTAATTTTCTGATTATCTGAATATTGATTAAAAAAAAAATTAATATTATATTTAATTT